TATTTTATAATATCATCTAATTTGAACTATATTATTGACAACTGTAAGAAAAATAGTACACTACATGATTTATAATACAAAAATTAATAAATAAAATAAAAGATTTGGTTATCAATGTAGAAATTATTAAAATGCGTACCAATTTTCTTTAATTTTTTAGGTTTCTAGAATAAATTAGTGGAAGTGATTGTTAGTAGAAAGAGAGAGAGATTTCAAATGGGCTCATTGTATGAATCCTATCTTTAAATTAATATTACTAAATTTATGTTAAAGACCATCATGTTATAAAAATAAAAAATATAATTAGACCATTTATTCCTAGGTTGTATTAAGAAATACCTTTTATTTTTTTGACAAGAAATACTTATTGTGTTATCTTTTATATTTTTTTACAAGAAAAATATGATAGTTGTTGATTATCTTTTTTCTTTTTTTTGACAAAAGAAGATGTACTACATTTTTTTTTGCTTGTTGTATTACTTTTCATTTTTTTTTACAAGAAAAATAAAAAAATGATGCTGCCAAAGTACATTTTATTTTTTTATGCCTTTTGTATTATTTTTTTGCAAGAAATACTTGTTATATTACCTTGTATTTTTTTTACAAGAAAAATAAAAAAATATTGTATTATCTTTTTTATCTTTATCTTGAAAAGCCTTTTGTTTTTTATTTTTTCTATTTTTTTACAACAGTATTTTCTGCCTTTGTTTATTTTTTTACAACAAAAATAAACGAGGACGCGTGCTTAGGTTCGAACTCTAGACGTCCACCGAAAATCGGAATTGTCAACCAACACCGCCACCTCGCTTAATGTGATTTTATTAGCTTCTATAATAATATATATTCAATCGTCTTGCTTTAATGATTTTTTGTGGGAATTATCCCACATCGAAGAATGAGCCTCGCTTTGTTCTCCATAAATTCTTGTGCAATAGATATCGTATTGTGCGTGTAGAAAAGCGAGGGGGCAGACATGTGAGGTGAGTTACCACGTATAGATATGTTGAAGGATTTTTAGGTGCCACGTGTTGCTCTCGTGAGGCGGCCACATGTAAATCCAAAAATTACTAGAATGCCCACGTTTTTTCGGTGAGACTCGCGATTCACTATTGGGAATCGCCCGGTTCTCTTTGAACACGGGCGATTCCCAGTTTTTTTGTGGAAGCGGCTCGATAGCAGACGATTCCCGAGTTAAACGGGGAGAGTCCGGCTCGACTTGGTGAGTTTTCAAACCCTGGTTCAAGGACATTACATGTCCATACAATGAATAAAATGACCTATATGTCCTAACTTAAATTTAAATTTTGTAATGACTAATTTATCCATGTGAATAGTACCCATGAATAATACTCATGAATAGTACTTGTGAATAGTTCCCATGAAATAAATAAAAAATAAGAACAATTTTTTTTTCTATCATAATGTGATCTGGTTGAATATGTTGAATTAACTGTAAGTTTTGTAAGGGAGCATATTAACTTTCTTGTGAGACCTAGACCTTAACTTAGCTTTCTCTCAAGGTTACTTGCTCCTAAGTTTCCTTTATAACCACAGGAGCCTTCATTCCCAAGTTGCTAAAATGTGTTTGGGATGT